TTCCTTGGATCATTCAATAGGATGACTAAGTTTCGGTATCATGCTGAAATTTTCCTGGAAACATTGCAAAAAACTTCGATTACTTGTTCAAAACTGTGACACGTTTAAAACAACTAGTAAACATCTGAGTCATATAAAAATAAAAATAACTTCAAAAGTTATACTTGGATGAAAGCTCTACACATCACTTGTATTACAAATCACCAGCATTAGGTAGGAACATACACAATGGCGCAAAACTGGCTTGTTGAACGAGGAAGCTTTAAAATAAATAACAATATTATTGAACCCGTATTTTCATGAAACATATAGAACAACACGTGACAGTCCCCAAATAAATCTCTTATCGTCTCATTTCATCAACTATCGATATCCAACATCGACTTTGCTGGTGGCCCACGATTCTGAAAATTTTTTTTCAAAAAAAAAATAAATACTATTGAAAGTTTCGAAAAAATGTCCAAGGGAAAAGAGTGTACAAAACAACATAAATAAGACTCGAACTCTGGCAGATCTGAGTAACTGAAGAATAGCATTGTTATTTTCTAAGGTTGATCGTAAAGCATTTCTTATACGCATTGCCGGCTCAATGTGCGCTTGTGCATAATTCCAGTAATTTGTGTTTGGTAAATCAGTTGGGGAAAAGACTTGTCCGCTCAACATCTTTTCAAACGTTTTAAATTGCCTGTGAGCCTCTTGAACTACTAACTGCAATGATAATTGAAAATGACAAAATATTGAAGAATAACAAAACTTTCTGAAATGGCAAACAAATCTACCAAATTAGCTTCAATCTGATCACAAATAGCAAGAAATTCGTCCATAGCGCTGTTGTAAGCATCTTTTGGAGCAAGTGGAACTTTCTTTTCAGGACTTTCAACAGATTTAGGCTCATCCGATTTTACAGAGCTAGGATTAACAGACATTGGATTTACTGACATTGGATTCACCGACTGTGGATTTACGGACTGTGGGTTTGCAGACGGCGGGTTACCCGGTTGAGTGGGACCAAAATACTCGCTAGTAGCCTTACTCAACTTCTAAAAAGCTCAATCTTAGTCACAGAAAAAGCGAGAAATGAAAAATCATTGCTTTATAATAAATATGAATATCGTGCACAAGTTCCCAAAATGAAGACCCAGTGTAGGTCAGCTATGAAATTTCCATATCATTACTTTTTTTTGAGAACACAGTTCAAGCATAAGAATTGAATCTCATAAAAGTACCTCAATAGAATGCCGAAGGTCTTTTAAAATTAATAATCTTGCCACATTGATAGGATCTGGAGGTAACTCAGCTGGTGCAGCTGGAGGTTCCTGAGGCGGCAGCGACTGAACTGAAGAAGGGGCCTGTTGGGGAGTTGCTGGAGTAGGATGTTGTTGTGAGGCTGGATTCATAGATGGAGGATTTATAGGAGTTTGGGGATTGTTGGAAGCCGGCCCACCCGTCGAAGAAGGCCCCTAAAAAATGAAACTTTATAGAATTATATCTTCTTAATAAAAAGTTGAAAGACCTATTGAAGTCAATCAATTTTAAATGTGATGTTTCAAAGGCAAATCTGGCAATAAACCACACAGTTACTTGAAGGTGGCATTACCAGCAATTCCAGTACAGCAGGATAACTTTTCAAAAATATCAGAAAATTAATAATAAACGTGCATCGTTGAAAATCGTCTGCTGCAAGCTTACCTGAGACAGTGGTGCGGGAACGCTATGAGGAGAGTTACGTGGTGGCACGTATAATGAAGACGAGGATACTGTTTGAGGCTGCTGAACTAC